TCCTCAGAAGGAAGGTTGGGCAATCTACTTCCATAGTGATACGGCCTTGGAAATACAAAGAGGGATCACTATGAGTCAGGTTCCACCGACAGCAGTGAGTTGATTTTTTTTTCCCCACACGGGGAAGAGAGAGGTGGGAGGGAGGGAGGGGTGACTCCATCTGAGCCTGGTGTACCCCTGCCATCAGAGCCTCTATCTCCCCCTTCCCAAACTCCATCCCTGATCTCGACCTCATTACTCCCTTCAGGTCCCATCTCCATCGCCCCACCCTGAGAGTTACTGAACCACCCCTCAATATCTGCAGCTAATTCCCAGAGCTTCCATAACTACCTTCCAGACCTCATCCCTCTCAGCCCCTCACTAGGCACCCCCAGCATTGCCCTCAGAAAACCTATTCCCACCCCTATCCTCCCAAACCCCATTCCCACCCATTTCCAGCCCATCATCCTTCCTCCTAACGTTCTTCACATTGAGAAGCGAGGTGAGACTTGATCTTGGTTAATATTTCATTATTGTAGCAGACTGACTGGCTTCCATAAGGATTATAGCCAGGAAAATTCTATAGGACAGTTCTACTCTGTCACATGGGGTCAGTGTGAATTGGAATTGACTCAATGGCACATGGCAATCATATACATGTGATGTCTCTGTATGATAATACACGGTGTCCATATGTAACATAGCTATTCCCTGTTTTGAAAGGATCTAGTCATTTGGAGGGCTGAGGAAATACTCAAATGTATCCTAGCAGGTAGTCAGCCTCTACCTCCAGCCTCTTTCCCTCTGCCCTCGGCTGCCTCCACACTCAGAATTAGAGGCTTCAGTGACAGAAGCTGTGCTTTTAAGCAAAAATTCCTGGAATCACCACGCCTTCCAGAGGAGTGTTTAGGCCTGTCTACCTCTCACACATATACACACAGAGAGAGTTACATAAATATATGCACATGATCCTATAGACATACACATTTTTAAACATTGCTATCAAGTCCATTGCAACTCATGAAGCCCCATATGCCATGGTGTTTTCTTGGCTGTAATCTTCATGAAAGATCGGCAGGGTTTCTTTCCCAGCACCGCTGGGTGGGTTGAGCTACCAACCCCAGACTAGTAGTCAAGCACAAACCATTCAAACTACTCAGAGACCTACTTATACACATATAACTACTCGGTATGTATTATAGATATTACTTACAGATATCACATAGGGAGCTCTGGTGGCATAGTGCCTAAGGCACTTGACTGCTCACCAGAAGGCTGGCTGTTCAAACCCACCAGCCACTCCTCCGAAGGAAGGCTGGGCGATCAGTGTCACATAAAGACACCACACATTGTTGTTACGTGCTCTGATTCCAATTCACAGCAACACCATGTGACAGAGGAGAACTGTCCTATAGAATTTTCCTGGCTATAATCTTTGTGGGTTTTTTTTACTTTTTTTAAAAAATTGTGATTTGGGTGGAGATTTACAGAGCAAATTCACTTTCCATACAGCAGTTCACGTATACTTTGTCTCATGTCATTGACCACAGTTTACCACAATGCAACAGCTCCCCTCCCACTTCCTCCCCATAGTTACCTCTTCTTAGTGACCATCCCTCCATACGCTCCTGCCCCCTGGGTTGTCTCCCTGTGCATAAGCATCCTAGCTATAATCTTTATGGGAGCAGATCACTAAGTGTTTCTCTCAGAGCCACTGGATGGACTTAAACTACAAACCTTTGGTTAGCAGCAGTGGAAGCTTGAACTATTTGCTCTACCAGGGCTCCCTTATCACCTATATAGGACGCATAAATTCACTTGTACGCATATGCTAAAGGAATACAAACCAAAGCATTTTTTAATTCAGATTTTTCCAGAGTCAAATTAACTCTGAAGTTAACAGGTGTCAAGGCCCCGGCCCAGGTCTTACGACCACAACCAGAAATGTCCACCAGATGGCACTCCTTCACCACTTTCTGTACTCCCAAGTGCTGCCAGAGGTGTCGCCAGAGAGGTCGCCTCACTTTGCCTCCCCAGAAAACCTGCGGAAACGAGTCCACCCTATACGGCCTCTAGGAAAGCGAAGTAGGCGTATTCTTAGTTCCCAAAGCCTGCTGCTCAGCCATCTCTAAGGTTGAATGCACCCTCCTGGCCCTCTAGGCTTCAGCTAGAGGGGGATTTGACTCCCCTTCCAGGCTCTAGTTCTACTGAACCCTCAAATCCACTCCCTGTTCACCAACGAGCCTGGGGGGCGGGCTCAGCCCGGGCTACCTCTGTTCAGGCCAGCGCGGCTCAGGGGCCCTTCTTCGGAGCCTTCGTGGTAACGAGCAGCCAGGCGCCCCTGCCCGGTTCCCACGTCGGCCCGAGGCGGGAGTCAGGTTCATCTGCACACACTTGGCACCCCTACACCTGTACACACACCCCTCTAGCTGAAGCCCAGGAGGGGTCAGTCACAGGCAGGGAGGAGAATGGTCAGGAAGAGCCTGGGACCTGGGAGCCTCGGCGAGGCAGAAGGCTGGTCTCGGCTAACCCTTCCTGCGTCTTGACTCCAGACAGCCAGTTCAGGGCAGCAAGGAAGCGCATTCGCTGCATCTTAAGCAAACGACTTCAGATCCTGGAGGTGGAAGAAGTGGGGTGGGAAGACCCTCGCCCACACCAGGCCTGGGCCTCTCGGGGCTGGCTCCCCTGGAACCTCACATCTCGGGTGGGAGCAACCTAGGATGACAAACGCCAGGAAGGCGTGAAACCCGGCGGGAGGCGAAGCCCGGAGCTCCGGCAGCGACTCACATTCCCCCTCCCCCTCCTCCCCCGGGAGCGGCGGGAAATTATTTATTAAAACGCCGCCCGCGCTCTCATTTATTTGCGGTGAATAATCCTCGGCATCTCAGCGCGTTTATTAAACCTTTCCCGTCCCCGCGCCCGCATTACTTTAATAATAAATCGCGTGTCACTTTCCAGCGACGTTATTAAAGCCCGTCCGCGGAGCAGAGGCGGGGGAGGGAGAGCGGCAGGGCTTCCTCGCGTTCCCGGCTCTGAGGCCTGAACCAGCAGAGGGCCGTGGAGCAGGAAACTGAGGCCGCAAGGGGGCGAGGAGCTTGCACCCCGACGCCCTACAAAGTGTGCAGATGCAATCGATGACCCGGATTTCCCAGGCGCGTTTGCCCTCTCGGGCCTGGGGGCCTTGCGCTTGGACCCGGACTCTGTAGGTGGGCGCGGGCTGATCGCAGTATCCCTGGGTGAAGAACAAGCCGCATGCGGCGTCTCCGCAGACACCAGGCCCAGAGCCCAAGTTGCTCCTTTAACGCGGCGCAGACCTGGTCACGACGCCGAATGGCACGCACAGCCCCCTTCCCCTCGTTCCGAATTCCCTCAAGTGTATCAAGCCCCGAGCCCTGCCTTGTGCGCTCCCGGGTCCGACGGACTGGTGCCAGGGTTCTGCTGTGAGAACTGTCCTCTAGCTACAGCAGCTGGAGGGGCCGAGCGGGTGGGTTGCAGGGGTGGCCAAGCCCCAGCTAGGGTCTCGGAACCACGCCCCTCCCAGGAGGCCCGGCGCCCTGCGAGCGCCGGGGAGGACATGCTCAGACGCCAAGCCACAGCGATCCTCTTGTGGTGGCGCCAGGCTCCCGGAAGAGCGCAGGCGCATAGGAGACTGTCGCCATCCAAACACAAGGTCTTGGCCTCGATGAAATGCACTCCTTCAATCACTCAATAAACATTTTCCCAACACTGCGCCTCATCAGTGGCCCCGGTCTAGGTAAAGAGTGTGGGGAGAGATTCCGCGAACCACATATCGCGGGTCTGAGGGACCCCAGCCGGATAGGATAGGGCCCAGGCCTGGCACATGAGGAAACCAGCTTACCCTGGCTTTTTCTGGGTTTACCTAGGGAATGGGTGGATTCCCTGATGGAGCTGGGGGAAGGTGCAACCCATAAAAGTAGCCAAACTTCTCCTCTACTTCATCTTCCAAGTTTTTTTTTTCTTTCCCTTAGGACACTACCCATGGAATCCTGATTCCTCAGTTGGCCTGGGGAGGGACCAGCTGAGAGGAAGAGAGGGCAGGCTTTTCACCTCTCCACCAGCCCCAATGGAGAGCAGGCTGGGAGGAAACTCCCTCCAGCTAGATGGCTCCAGCCTTTCTCCCTAGAGGGCAGGGTAGACCAGAGCTCAAGTCTTCACGCTGTGCATCTGGCAGCCATGTGCTTAGACCTACAGCTTCTGGAAGCCACACTCCTTGTCTGGGAGGCATCCCAGGGCAATGTAGGCTTCATGTGCACATCTGCAGGAAATGTTTGACCATCTTGGTGTCTCAGTTTATTCACAAATCTTTATTGGGTCCTTCCTGTACGCCTAGTCCTGTGCTAGGCATTGTCAAATACAAAGTGGTATAATACATAACGCTGGCCTCATGATGTTCCCAGAAGGAAAGGGAAAACCACATATGACCAAATGCTCACCAAGCTCCACTGTGCTCTTCTGTGCTACAGACAATGACAGACAACGCGAGCACAGAGCAGGCTGCAGCCATAAGTATAATTGGAACTAACGAGACAGGGCAAACGTCTGGAAGGTGAGTCTTGAGGAAGGGTAATCTCAGGCTAGGCAAAAGTTGGTGACAAGGAAAATAACAGCAGGAACAAGGGTCTGTGGAAGAGGGTTGGGCTGGAAGGAGGGTTACGGTATAAAGGGGAGGATCCTGGTATCAGCACCTGTCTGTGCTCCAGCCTCCAGCCTGCACCCCCCCCAGCCTGGAACCAAAAAGTAGCTGGTACTGGCCCCTTGGCTGGTTCATGCTGGATGCTGTCCTGAGCAGGGCATCTCCTGTTTGGGCCCCTCTGAGTCCGACCTCTCCTGGTCTCTACCTTTCTCCCTTGCCCCCCACTAACACCACAAGGTCTCCCTTATGGAGGGCATCAAAGCCATCCTGGAATGGGCTCTGCTTCCCCTGCATTTCCCAGGTCTTTTCAAGAGCAGGGACGAACACTATCCCCACTCACCCATGCCCACCCCACGGGGCTCTGGACCTAGTAGTAGTCCTCGCCCTCTTCACTCTCAGCCTCCTCCTCAGGAAGCAGGTTCAGGGACTGCAGCTGGGGGATACCTGTGGAGTTCAGCTGGTCTGCAAATATATGTCAGCAAAGAAGAGGGGACAGGAGAGAGGGGCCGTTAGTGCCAACATTTCCCAGCGGGAAGCCATGCTTGTATGTGCACAGACCCACAGACTCAGTTTCTTACACACACATTCAACGGCCCTAATCCACCACCAATGGCCCAACCTTCAGAGTCCAGGGCTCCCCCTTACCTGGTGTGAGCACCATCAAGCTAGCCCGGGCCTCGACCTGGCCCAGGGCATTGCGGGCAAGGCAGCGGTAGATACCCTCATCACTGGGACGCACAGCCTGGATCTGCAGCCAACTTGTGACCTCAAACCTCTGGGGTCCCCCCCTAAACTGGAGCCAAAGAAAGAGTCAGCAGGGTCTCCCAAGGGAGGTTCTGGGCTGCCAGAGGGAGGTCTCTGCTCCCTGCCCCTACCTGTACAGAGATGTGGGGGTCATCCCCTGGCAGCTGGATGTCCAAGCCATCCTTCCTCCACTCGATGGAGGCCATAGGGTAGGCAAACACTTCACAGCCGAAGATCACGTCCTGCCCTGTCACGTTCCAAATGTCGTGTGGGTGCGACATGATCTGGGGCTCTGGGGGTGGAGATGGGAGGCCTGAGAACAGGAAGGCACATGCAACCCAGCAAAGGCTCAATGTACAAACCAGTGTAGACACATTGGTGGGAAAATATATTTTGAGGTGTATAAATTAAACCAATTTCCATGGAGTTGACTGCAACTCATAGCAACCCTGTGGGATGGTGTAGAACTACCCACAGGGTTGGTTTCCAAGGCCATACATCTTTACAGAAGAAGACTGCCACATCTTTCTCCCGCAGATCAGCTGGTGAGTTGGAACTGTCAACCTTTCAGTTAGCAGTCACTTAACCACTGCACCACCAGGGCTCCTTATCTGGGGTATATATACATCTGTAAACAAGACATGACACATACACAAAACTCACTGCCCTTGAGTGGGATCTGACCCACAGCAACCCCTCCTTGGGTATCCCAGGCACATCACTACGCAAGTAGATTGCCCAACTTTCTTTCGCAGAAGTGAGTGGCTGGTGGGTTTGAACCACCAGCTTCTGGTTAGCAGTCAAGTACCTTAGGCACTATGCCACCAGCGCTCCCCATACACAGACAGGCACATACAAATGTAGCTGCAGGTACACACAAGACTACAAAAGCAGATGGGAGATGTACCCTCGGAGCACACACACACAGCCACATAGAAACAAGGAGCAATCAAGCACACAGCCCCACATCTCAGCTTGGCAGTGACTCTCTGTCCTTAATCGCTCCCTGTCCTCATTCCACCCTGCCCGTCCCCATCCTGCCTTGCTGGTAACCGACACCCCACTCTACTCCCCCTCGCTCTTTTCTAACCAGGTTCAGTTCCCAAAGTCCAAAAGAACAGCCCACCCCCCACCCCACTCCCTGGGGGTTCCACGTGGCAAAGGCAAAGAGAGAATCTGAAACCCTGCCTGGAGGGCCGGCAGGAAATCTGAAGGGGGGTTGGAGGGGAGAGGAGGGGAAAGTGTTGGGACCCCCGCTGGGTGTTTGCTTTCTCAGCAGTCCCAGGCAAGCCGGACCGAAGCACCAGGTCAGGAAGTCAAAATTACTAAAGCTTCCAAAGCCAACTTGAGGCCCGGATGTCCCTCAGCCCCTTGGCGAGGTGGGGGGAGGCTGGTAGATAAAAAACGCAACCCCCTTTCATTAACCTCTTAGCACAGAAGGGGGAAGACAGGATACTGGGATTGCTCTCAGAATCTGCCCAAACGAAAACCTGATTGCATCTTGCAGAAGCCCAAGTCTCGGTGCCTGAGCCCCAAATTGGTCAGGTTAAAGCCGGAGCAAGGGGCGGGGGCGGGGGCCGGGGGTTTTATTCCCTCTCTCAACGTTGAGATCAACCATTGGCTTTGTGCCTGGTTCCTCAGAGGGCGGGATCGCGGAAGGCGGGTCTGGAGCTTTCAAGCGGCTCAGCGCACGCAGCAAGCGGTCAAAGCTCAGAGACCGCACCTTTAGTGGCGGCCTCTGCGGACCAGCAGCAGAAGCAGGTTCTGACACTGAGCTCTAGGCCTCCCTGGCTTCATCTCTTTTGCTCGTCTGGCCAGAAGAGACCGATGCTCTGGGGAACTGGAGAGCACTGCCTCCAGGAAGCCCAAGTGCTAGGGGTAGGGGCCCCGGGCCGTGCGTACCGGACTCACAGGGCCCCGGGTGCGCCACAGTGAGGTTGGCGTCGGGCCGAGCGCCGGCCGCCTCCTGCAGGCGGCAGATGTGCGCGTAGGTGCGGCCGTCGGAGCCACAGAGGGGACGCTGCGAACTGCAGACACACACAGGCTCCGGCACTTCGCCGCGGCTCAGGTCCCCGCCTGCGTCCAAGCGACACTCAAGCTGCTCGCCGCAGCGCCCGTAAAAGTGAGCGCTGGGGTCCAGGTCGCAGAGCTGGCCCTCGAGATTGGCGCATTCCCAGCAGCAGCCGCACGGGTCGCGCACCTGGCCCGCCAGGCAGCCCCGGGGCGCGGCGCACTCTTCCGGCCTGCAGGGCGCGCAGCCCTCCCCCTCCACCAGCAGCCGCAGCCAGCTGCGCCGCAGGTAATCCGGGCCTGGGGAACGTCGCGCGCTGCTCAGGAGCGGCGTCGGCACCAGCAGCACGAGCAGGAGCAGCGCCAAAGCAGCTGCGGGCGACCGCGACATGGTTAGCTGGCAGCCCTGCGTTCACTCGGGGCATCAGCGCGCTCGCGGCACCCTGCCAGCGAAGGAAGCTAGGTTAGGAGGTCAGAGTGATGCCAGAGCCCAAAGGCCAACCGCGTTGCCCCTTGTACCAAAGCCTGACCCTGGCATTGTCTCTCTTCTTTGTGTCTAGGCTTCTCCCTTGCTACCACAGAATTGAAGTAGACCCTCTCGGGACCATTCAGTTATGCCCGGGGTGGGGGGCGCTGGAGAGAGATGAGAGGAAGGGGTGATGAAACGTAGGCGCTTGGACGCGTACAAATACCACTACCGTCACCACCACCAAGAACCTTCTAACTCTGGTGCTCCCTGCCTCGATAGTGGATGGGAAAGGACGTTTCCAGGAAAAATACGGAGTTGTTAATGGGGATGGAATGAGGGAGTGGAGGAATGATGCCCCTGGCCCGGGGCCCAGGGCGCTCACCTAGTGCTCGGGACTAGGCCCTTCGGAGCAGCAGATTCTCCCGTTCGAAAAGGAGGCAGTGGAAGAAAGCAAAGGCACGCAGTGGCCTGAGCCGGCCAGCCACTTCGGCTCCGGCCTTCGGATCTCTCTCTGAGAGCCCACGGACTTGGACTCAGAGAGCGGCTCCTCCGCCCCCTCTCCCCGCCCATTGACGTCGCGCACTACCCCCCACCCACCTTGTTCTGAGGCTGCCAATTTCATGCAGCCACCGGGATCCTCCCGGGCCACTTCCCCCTAGCTTGGCCCAAAGTCCCAAGGAGAACAGAAGAGCTGTAACCGTAACCGGACACCGAAGCTGGGAGAGGGAGAGCTGCAAGGATTAGAAACTGGGAGGGAGGGCGTTTGGGAGGGTGGTGGCTGGGAAGTAAAGAGTTGGCTGAGCGGCCAGTTCCTGTCCCACATGACGACTTTACAGTCCCCGGGGTCGGCTAGAGTAGCTACATAATGGGAAGGCGGTAGGAGTTCTGGTGCCAAGACGTTTTACATTGTCTGGGTGCTCCTGGAGGGCAGAACCAATCAACGTCTCTTCTCCCCGCAGCCCAGGGCTGGCTTCCTGGGGTGGTTGCTGGCTCTCAGACTTCATTTCCGTACCGAGACGCCGACCAGAGACTCAGCCTCCCCACATCTGGCCTCCTCCACCCTCCCCACATCCGGCAGGTGCTTCAACCCGAGGACGAGCTGGGTGATTAGAGGTCTATCCCACCAACGGCTGCAAAAGGCGGGCCGGGCGGCTCCCTAGCGGGCGTCGCTCTGGATCAGGATTACAGGTTATGGCTGCTAGGCTGGCACAGCCACAGGCACTCTGTCCACGCTGCCGCTACCAGCGCCACCGTGGCACTTTGGGCTGGGGTATGGGAAGAGAGCGTTCCTGGAGGGTAGCCCACCATACTGGGGGTTTGCCAGGCCGCGCCCCAGCCTGCCTCAAGCGGCTTACAGAAACCGCACTGCAGGCAAGTTTGTCCGGGGCGGAACCCGAGTTTGTGATTGGTGAGGGGACAGTGATTTAACTAGGCTTCGCCCAGAAGGCCCAAGTGGCCTGGACTGGGGCCACCCCAGCAACCCTGAAGCTTTGGGGCGGGGCCCAGGCATGGGGCCGCCCGGTGAATCCACTCCGCATGCGTACTAGAGCTCCGGAGTCTCCAGCGCCCGGATGCTACCCGCGGCTCCATCGGCAGCGCACCGGAACTGAACCAGACCCTCTCACTTAGGGGTTCCCGAGCCGCACAGACCCCGCCCCCGGCCAGAAAAGTTCTGCACTGCACCCGGTGGGTGAGGCCAGGTACTTGTCACCACGGTTGCTAAAAGTCAATGGATGGGCGCGAAACGAACTCACGCGAGGTCTTCTAATTGTCGCGAGAGTTAGAACAGGAAGTCTGACGACAGAAAAAGCCCGCGGGTTTTAAGACAGAAAGTGAATGGGCGGAGCCGGTATGGCTGATAAGAAACCTAATCCACAGCGATTGAGTCAATTCCGACTCTTGGCGACCATATAGGACAGAGTAGAACTGCCCCATAGGGTTTCTAGGGCTGTAAACTTTGACTGCCACATCTTTCTCCCGTGGAGCAACTGATTGATTCGAACCTCTACTGTTTCGATTGGCAGCCAAGCGTTTAACCACTGTACCACCAAGGCTCCGGAGAATGGGGTTTTAAATAAATAAATAACTGCCATCGAGTCTATTCCAAGTCATAGCGATCCCCATTGGGTTTCCAAGGCTGTAAATCTTTAAGGAAGTGGACTGCCCCATCTTTCTTCCGCGGAGCAGCTGGTGGATTCAAATCACCAACCTTTTGGTTATCAGGTTTTGTTGTTGTTGTTATGTGCCGTCTTGATATTGCGGAAATGGCTAATGGAGACACTGGCTCTGGCAAAAGGTTTTGGAGACGGAGATCGTGGCTTGGGAGATAGAGCGGCAGTAGTTGGGAATCTCCCAGTGAATCGCTACGGGCTTGTAAAGCGTGGAACAACAAACTCCAGGGACCTGGAAACTTTTCGCTTATCCCACTTAATTATTGGGAAGGAAGGTTGGGCAGTCTACTTCCGTAGTGATACTGCCTCAGAAACCCAAGGAGGGGTCACTCTGAGTCGGGTCCCTCCATGGCACACAACAACTTAATTATAGCGTTCTTTAATTTCAATCCTGGTTAGGCTGTAAGCCTTTGGTGCGTTACTCACCATTGTAGCCTGTGAACCTAGCCCAGCTCTTTAGTGCACAGATTCTCGGTAAATGTTTGTGGATTAAATATGAAAGACTCCTGAGGATGAAAGTCAAGTTTAACCTGGATTCTGAGCCGTTGTTGGGGAAGGCTGGATAGACAGGGAACGAGCGCCCTCTGGTGGGTTTGCGGTTTGTGACGAGAACATGACCGTGCAAGTAAAAAACCCTTGCCCTCCAGTTGATTCTGACTCACAGCAACCATGTAGTACAGAGTAGAACTGCCCCATAGGGTTTCCAAAGCTGTAATCTTTATGGAAGCAGGCTACCATATCTTTCTCTGGCGTAGCAGCCTGGTGGGTTCGAACCATCAAACTTTTGGTTAGCAGCTGAATGCTTAACCACTGTGCCACCAGTGCTCCTTATAGCCATGCATATAGCAAGCACTAAATATATTTACTATACAAAGGTATTCACTTTTATTAAATAGAGATTTTATTCCAGGGAAATGCCACATATTGTAAAAATACCGTAAAAAGGAGGAGTTATTTGCATAGGATACAATTTAAAAGTCTAGAGAAGTCCCCAGATTCTCATCATCAGTTTTTATCCATTAAGTCTTAGAATACATTCAATAATACTTATGGTCATCATCATTAATAAAGATATAGCAAAAGACTGCGTATTCATACATTGAAAATACTGATTTGATCAGAGAATTGCAGGTTCATGCAAAACTCTTGTTAGGTGTCGCTGAATGGCTTCTGACTCATAGCAACTGATTAGATTAAAGGAAAAGGATTCTCTGGATGATGTGACCACTGCAAGCAGAGAGGGGGGCGAGTGGCAGCATCATTTGCTGCACCTACAGAGAAGAATAGATTCAGATGAAGGCGGTGCAGTTACAACTTGAAAAATAGATAGTCCTGCCCCTTTTTTGTTTCCTTTCCTGTAGATGTTTGCACTGAAGAAGGAATGAAGTGTGGAATGTCGTTTGCTTCCCACTGTGAGTCATAGCACAGAGTCCACAGGTTATCACTTTCTTTCAGCCATCCACCTATAAAATAACAATGACATACAATGAAATGAGGTCCTATACAAATTAACAATGTAAGATTGAAGGAGGTATAAAGGTCATCGTGTAATTTAGTAATAAATTACATCCTCTCCTTACTTGTTAACGTGGTTAGGTTCCAAAGACCAAGTTGTTAGCGAAAATCAACATTGTGAAATGGATGATGACCACATCATTACGTAACTGCCAACTTTCATCATTATACAACTGCCAAATTACCTCATTACTTAACTGCCCAAACACTGAGAATCATGGCCCATTGAAGCTGACACGTAGCTCTAGCCATCACAGCCTCACACCTTGCATTTATCACTGCCAGATGTACGTCCTTAATGCACACAATAATTGGATGGTAAATTTTTTACAACTGTCATAAATGCAAAATGTCGGGTAATGAGATAATTGATAAGTAATAAGTAGGTACTCTTGGGAGGACCCACACATTCTAACCTGTCACTTAATGAGCCCTGTTTTGACACAGCTGGTAAAAATAGTGAGGTTGCCACTCAGAAAGGGATCGAAATAGGAGATACTGGACGGGGTGGGACAAAAATGTCGAACAAAACTCCAAATTGTGAAAAAAGACCAAGCCTACTGGTCTGATAGAGACTGGTGAAACCTCCTGAGACTGTGGCCCCTAGTCATCCTTTGGGTCTGGAATTGAACTCACTCCCATGACTTCCAGCCAAACAATGGACAGGCATATAAAGTGAACGTTTATGCCAGGTAGGTACACTCCTTAGAACAGTCAACCATGGGAGAGCAGAAGGGCAGCATTTGCAGAGGGAGGTAGCTCAGAGGGCAGGAATGGATAGGGAAGAAGGGCACAGGGAAAAGGTACCCGCAGGGAGTCAGTGGGAAGAGAGCTGTTACATTATGGAGATTGCAGTCAATGTCATGAAACAAAACGTGTATGAACAGTTGTATGGAAAATGAATTTGCTTTGTAAACTTTCACCCAAATCACAATTAAAAAAAATAAAACAATGGGGTTGCAACTTTGAGGAAGAAGCAAAAGTGACAGAAATGACCGAGAATGACCCATTAGAGATGACTGCAGAGGAGTTGTGCTTCTTGCGGGGACCATTAGAATCAGTTAAGCCAAAAAAGGCCCAACGTAGGTTATAGATGGAATACTTTATAGCTGCCTACTATGACAAATAGGTGGACAGTCAAAGTGGAAAATGTTTGCAGGAAAAGAAATGAAAAAGTATATGAATACTGATCACAACCATGTAAATATTTATCATACCTGTCATCAGTGAACGCTCAGAGAATTTTGAATGAAGCAAAATGGCTGCACCTAATAGTCACTATTCTTT